CGACGATGAGTAGAATTTATGTATAGTAATTATTATTTTTCTCATGACTTCGTTTTAATATTATGATCTTATGTGAATTTATAAATATTGTTATTAATATGAATTTGTTCACAAGCATTCATGGCTGGGCCAGTAGCGACTTGCGCTGGCTCTTCAAGGGGAGCGCAGCCTCCTCCCGGTCATCATAGACTCCCCGCATTTTGTGAGTCTCGTATGTTATTCTGACTTTTTTCCTGTTCAATTATATAATAAATAAATGTAGTAGTACATGTTGATTTGAAATGCTTACAGTACCTGAACCTCGACAACGTAAAGGTCGAGGTGGGGCGAATGGTTATGAAATCGTCCAAAAGGTCCTTCAAGACGGTAAAATCACTGTACAATTTGATGAGGCGGGAGGTACTTGGAAGGCGCTTGGTAAATGTGGTTCCTGGTTTGATAGTGCAGTTGGTATTCATACCAGGGACATATGTGAGCCCTTCCACGATGCTTGAAAAGACATTAACAACATAGACAAGAGGACAATTCAGGACCGGATGCTGGTATTTGTTTTTCTTAATAATTTGTAAAGTTTATACTAAAGTTAAACATAACAATGCGTTTTAACGATGTGAAATTGTTTTGCAAAGGCTGGTTTAACATCGACTACAACTATAACTACAAGGACTGGAAAAGTTTCCTGCACCACCACCTCAAACGCTATGGTAGAGACAAGTCTCCCAAGTAACATGAGAAATCCACTTCATTGGGATCGTTGTTACGATCCACTTCAAATGCTATGGTAGAGACAAGTCTCCCGAGTAACATGAGGAATCCACTTCATTGGGATCGTTGTTACGATGGTTCTCCGCCGATAAATTTCAAGTAATTATAGATTTGTTACAACTTGATGATTTTTTATACATAATTTGCTTAATTTTACTATTACTTATAATAGTTAATCATAAACAGAAAATATCATAGACAAATAAAACTAATCGTAGCAACCAAAAGTATCCAAGCTTACATGGTCGGATATCGTACTCTTAGCATCGTAAAAAGAGAGTTAGTAGTTATTTTTTCCACTTCATTAAAACGAAGTCATTATTCTAAAGTTATTTTTTAACTTCATTATCGTACTTATATGTTTGTGATGATTGTTTTGGGTGGCACATCTTGCAGCTATATTGTGCTGAAATCTTTTAAAGTTATTTTTTACAGGTTTTGATTTTTAGATCATATGAAAAATAAGCCGTTATGCTGCCAAAATTTAGTTATAATTTAAGAATTTTAATAAATGTAATTTATTTGACAGGCCAGTATGGAGACCCAAGAGCCGATGTCTGCCATAGACAATTGGGGGGACATGCATCGTCGCGGGGCCTCTTGGGTTAATCCCCAAGCGGAACATACTTTTGTAAGTATTTTTATTTTTCATATTAAATTTTTTTTTACTGAAATAGTGGTTTTAGGACACGTATAAACAATTATAATGTCTTATTATGTAGAACACCCTGGAGGATGAGAGACAAACGCAGAGGACACAGTCTACTTCAAGCTCGACTAGACCCGCCTTTGACAAGCATGGGGTTTTGGAGCAAGTTCTTGGCATGCGAAGAGGACATAAGATAGGAGTGGGTCCGACGCTCTCCCAAAAGCATTACTCCGGGGCTTCTTCTTCATCTGTTGGTTCATACTCGGACGCAACATCATCGGCTCAACCTGACCCACGTATGAGTCGTTATTTAGAAAAATTATACCGACAACAAGTTAAGATTTATGAGAATTAGGTGAAGGTATTAAAGTTGATGGCTAAATTGCAGCCCAACATCCAATTACCTATGATTGATTGTCCAGAACCAATTGACCTAGACGCTCCTCTGCCTCCTTCAGATGATGACGGTCCTGATGATGATTTAGATGCTGGCTATGCTGCAAACTTAGACGATTAGTTCCGTTATATGTACTTTTTTATTTTTCACTTTATTTAGACTTTTATATTTTTTTGAACATTATATATGCACTTCATGTAGTATTCATAATATATTTTATAAATTTATTTAGATTTACTGTTTTTAATATTAATTTATATTTCACTTTTAATGTATCTTAATAAATTCTATTCAGTATGTAACATAATAATGTTTAATTAAAAATATTAAAAATTAATTAATTGCCATTTTTTAAAAATTATAAAAAAAATTAATTTCATTTTTTTGCGACGACTTTTTTAGACTTGTCGTCGCAAAAAAAAATAAGATTATTTGTGACGACAATTTGAAATGTCGTCGCAAAAATGGATCATATCACGAGAAATTTGCGACAACGTATTAGCGACGATTGTCGTCGCAAATGACACAATGTCGTCGCAAATAATTTATTTGTGTCGAATCATTTGCAACGATGTGTCGTCGCAAAAAACTTTATTTGTGACGACATGCAGTTTTTTAGGATGACTTTTTGTCGTTGCAAAAACTCCTTTTTCTTGTAGTGATACGTCGGAAATTGCTTGACGAGATGTTTTGCATCAGTGAAGAGGAAGGAGCTGTTGGGAGAAAATTAAAAAAAAATCGTCAACGAAAATTGCAGAGACAAAATAGACAACAATTGAAGAGAAGTAAGAGGTTGTTGATGAATTAGAATGATATATTATGGGTCCCAAATCCTGGTCTTTGAGAGCTGTTGATCAAAAGCAATTGCAACTCTCCACTAGACCCTCGTAGCAGATAGGACGCATGCATTTATGAAACAAAAGCTATGAACGTAAAAATCACCCAGTGCAAAGATTGCCCGAAATTATTATTTGTTGCGCAATAGGATATAATTGCAATTTCATGCATTTCTTGCTTTAAAATCCATAACCACTAAGTAATAGGGACCCAAATCTGACTAATTGGAGCCTCCATTTAAATCAGTGATCACTATCTTTGAAGATATGTGGCCAAACAGAAACCTAAAAGCATCGTCAACAAGACAATACAATAAACATCCATAAAAATTAAAAATTAGAATGGAAAAAAAAAAGTGATGGAGGCTGGTTCAACAACTAGGTTCTAGGTGTTGATATGGGTACAGATTCATTTGCTAGAAATAATTTTTTTTAAGAGAACTATTATGGAATAAAGATATGTGAATATATGATGGACAAATTTTCAATCACTATGTTTCTATTAATGTTTAGTCATTAATCGCGTGATAAAAATCTAATTTTATTAATTAATATAAATTTTTTTATATCAATTATTTAATTTATTATAACCGTCGAATTAATTTCTCACAATTAAAATAATGTACTCACTAATAATTAAATATTAGAGTCACCGTCATACCTATAATATAATATAGATGCAGCATATTAAGTCTATAGAACATGTGGCATGACAAAGTAATTAATCTCAATAACTTCTTGATACTATTGTCTTACTATATACAGATATCCGACTTAAGATTCCTTTGCTAGAAATAAGAAGTTTTTTTTTTTTTTTTTTTTTTGAAAGAGAGAGATGCTAAGTTATATATACATATCTATGTATATATACTTGCAGAAGTGTAACAAAAATAGGAAAATATATAAAATCATTTTAAAATCCTTTAATTTAATAAGAATACTGAAAAATACGACATTTATAAACATGTTGATTCACTCACGAATACTAAGAAATAGGAATAAGCTCAATTTCATTGAGTCTGATTAATACTAAAAATTATTTTCTTAAAATTCTTTTGATTTGTCCCTTGAGATTTTTGTTGTTACAATTTTGTACATAATTTTGCTAAAAAGATCCTATTATTCATCAAGTTTTGACTTCTAAGTATACTTGTACCTCATTTTTTTAGAGAATGAGTGAAATAGCATATTTAATAGGGTGATTAGTAAATTATAGAATAATTTTTTAAAATATGTAATTTATAGCATAATTTAATATCTTAAACTTCCAACAATATTAAAAATTCAAAAATACCCCCTAACCATCTCTCCGCTTCTCCTTCTAGTTAGGTCCACTATGACCGGTGGCCGGAGGCCAGCACCGTTGCAGTAACTGGTGAGTGGCAACCGTTAAATACTAGATTTACCAGTGAATATCGTATTTAATCGTAAATATCATAGTTATTTAAAAATTCAATTGTCGGTGCTGGCAACCGGTAAATATTGTGTTTACTGCTAGATACCGTACTTACCAGTAAATATTATATTTATTCATGAATATCATATATTCTCTGAAAATTTTTACCGGTAAATATCATATTTACTCACAAATATCATATTTATCTAAAAATTCAGATTTAGGCTGCCCGCGACCGGTAAATACCGTATGTACTGGTAAATATCGTATTTACTCGTAAATACCATATTTATCTGAAAATTCAGCGACCAACTCCAGCAACCGTCAAATACTGTATTTACCGGTAAATATCATTTTTACTTAAAAATACCATATTTATCCAAGAATCATAAAATTCGGTGGCGGGTACTGACTATTGATAAATACCGTATTTATCAATAAATGTTACATTTACTCATAAATATCATCATAAATATCATATTTGTCTAAAAATCTAATCAGCGGCTATGACGACTGTTAATACTGTATTTACTAATAAATATCATACTTATTCATAAATATCGTATTTACTCAAAATTCCAATCGTCAGTGTCCGCGATATTTGTTCCGCTTTTGCTTCTCCCGCACATTGTTCACAAAAGTATCATAAAAATTTATTTTAATTTATGACATTTATGATAAACCCATTTGATTGAGAACATAAAATTGAATAATGTTAGACGAAACATATATTTGAACTGAAAATGAAAATTACAGAATTAGGAAAATTGAAAATTACAAAAACAGAATTACAATAAAAATTAAGACAACATAACTAGTAACGTGATGTATAGAGAAGTAAACAAAACAAAGAGATATAAAGAAATAGTATTAACCTAAAACAAATCATTAAGAAATATTGATTTCAGGAACGCAACTCATGGTAAGCTACTAAAAACTGATTGAACATAAATCCACTCAAACCAACTCCGTCAAGCTTCCTTCCAAGATAGCACTGAAACTGCTCATTCCATCTCTGTTGAGTGCCAAACCAACTTTGACCCCACCGATATCGTCCCTACTCTCAGCAAAACAAATTGCAAACGAATCATCAACATGAACCGATTCGCTCTTTTTCGGCTTTCCCCAACCGGAATCTGCCTCGTAAACACCCAATTTCGTCGAGCCCGCGACGGTGAAGTGACGCCACCTTTCCACTACTTCTTTCCATTTTGCCATCCACTTCTCAGCCTCTTTCAGAGCTTCATTTTTCAATCCCGCAACTTCCTTCCCAATTGCCTTCACAGCCGCGACGATTCCGTTTTCCCCCAATAGCTCGTTCCGCTTTACTTGTGCATAACACAATGCCAAGCAATTTCCGAAGTAAGTCGTTGGTAGTCGAAATTGGAGTCGACTTTGACAATCCGCTACGAAGATGAAGTAGTGAGGCTCATCATCATCATCATCGTCATCATCATCATCAACATCCGTGGAATTGCTCTCTCGGATTTCTTCTGATTTGACCAAGCAAACCAACATCAACGCGCAAATGACAACAAACGACGATATGTAAAACGGTGTGGAGTTCTGCTTGTCGTCGCATAATTGATCTTTGACCCAATGCTTTAACCTCTCAATCTGAGCTTGGCTCAGAACAAACGTGGACCGAACGTTATCAGTGAGACCATCATCTGGTGGGACTGGGTCCTCGCCAATATCCCACGTCGACGACAAGCTCCACCACGTGTTCAACAGCACGAGCTCAACACCACCATCTGCAGGGTCCTTGATCGCTGCCCTATCATGAGACGGAAGCCCTAACTCGCGGTCAAGCCGGATCAAATCTCCTCCGGTCTTACAAACCAACGTCCATGATTTCATGAAGTGGTGAAACGCCCTCCCGTCGGCCGCCACGTGGTTGAACCGGACGCCGATGCAGATGCCGGAGTTGGGAAAGACGGTGACTTGCAACGCCAGAAGAGGGCCCACACGTGTACCGTCGCCCTCCACACGTGTTGGCGCCAACTTGGGGACGAACGGGTGCAGAGCTCGGACGGGCCGGGGGTGGTTGGCCGAGAGAAAGTTGAAGTCGGCGGCGGACTCGGCGACAGTGAGGGAAACGGAGTCGTCGTCGGTGAAGAGGATGAAAGGCTTCGCCGGCGGTGGAGGGCATATGAGGTTAGCGGCAAAGGGAAAGAAGTGTCGGAGAGTTAGGGAGAGAGTGTTTGAACGTGGGAAGGAGAGTTTCTAAGAAATGGAGGGTTGAGAAAGGGAATTCGTAGAAGTAAAGGCGTTGCATATGGCGGCAAAGATGCCATGGCAGGTCGAAGAAAGTAAGAGGAAGAGAGGATTTGGAGACCGAGCCTGGCGGTGGAGACCTTGCTTTGCTCCATCACCTTCACTTCGTTATTCGGAATAGCCATTGATGATGATCTGGATTCGAGGATCAGAGATATTCAATGATTAATTAGTTAATACAACGACAACAATGTCCTGCCCATCCAATTGATTAACGCCCACAAGTGTTGTTAATAAGAGATCAATTATAACACAGAAATGTAATCGTATCTACATAGATAATAAAACAGATAAGAAAGATTAGCATGATAAGATGTTAGAGGAAAATAAATTAATAAAATTAAGTAACAAGAAAGAGTATTATTGTAATTTTGTTGTAAATAAAGTAAAGAAAATAGAGGAAATTTGTGCAAAGAAAATTCAATAGTTAAAACGGTAAAGTCTCGAGAATTTTTTATATTTTGTTCACTAATTTAGGTTTTGATTCACAAAATAAAAATATCGAATAAATTAAATCCTTATGTTGATTCAGAAATTATTATTACAAGTTATCCAAAATCGATAATATATCAATTTGATAATATTACAGTAAAAGACGACTCACAAAATAATTCAAATAACAAAATAGTGCATGACAAAATTATATAAGAAAAGCATGACTAAACTTATATAAAAGTTGACATATAATATTTTAAAAAATAAATAAATAATAGATGAGATTTAATTCATTTAAATATTAAATATTACAACACAAAGAATCAAAACCCAAATTGGGTCACTAACTAAAGTTTATCTCTAACCTCATTAAAAGAACTCTAGTCTAACTTACAATATATTCACACAAATCTTAGAGAGAAAATATAAAAGTGACAATAAGACGATAGAAAATTAAATGAAAAACTCCACTCTCAATTACTACTGAGTCCCTCTATTTATAGTGGTCATGAGCTACCAAGTAATTAAGGAAACAAATCTAAAAAAAATGGGAAAATTAGAAAGAAATAGAAATAAAATAAAATTACAATAAATTTGGAAAAATCAATTATTTGATTTTGAAGAGATATCTGGCTGATTGAACTCTGACTAGGAGGAAATCGGAGAAAGGGGGAGAGCTAAACACAACTTGTACCTGATTTTCCACATGGCCTGCGCTGATTGCGTGCAAGGAGCTGGGGCTCCCAAGTGTCACTCACGGAGTGGACAACCTGAGCTACCTGGTGGAGTAGTGGCCGACAGGTGGGGAAGGCTGGAGCTGACGGACGCGCAAGAGACCGCATGGAGCAGAAACGCGCGCAGATGATCACGCGGTGCTGGTGACGCGCTGATGAGCGCCTGGCTGAGGCGCTGTGCTGCTGGGACCCGTGCCGACGCGGCTTGCACGGATTAGCTTGGCTTGGCTGACCTCGTTCGGCGGCTTGGCTTATGCAGCTCAGATGGCTGATTTGGAGTTTAAAGTGTGGCTTTTCTCAATGCATGGCTCCAGTGGTGAAACTTCACACGGCGGGCATGTCCGATACCCAAAAATTTTTTAGTACGGCGGGCATGTGTCATTTACCGTCCGTCTTAATATTTTGGTCTAGCACGGGCTCGGCCAGCCTGAAAAAAATTCATTCCGGCTGGCCGTCGCTGGTGGAGAAGTTGACCTCGTCGCCCGCCGTATTTTTTTTAAAATTTTTTCGCGTAACCCGAATTTGCCCAAATTTTTTTGACCGTTAGCCTGAATTTTACCCGTTGTCCGAATTTTTTTGACCGTTAGCCCAAATTTCTACCCGAATTTGAACCCAGCGGATCTTTTTTGCCCGACCCGACCGCCGCCCGAATTTTGCCTAAAATTTCAAACCCCAATGACTATTTTTTTTACTATTGCCCGAATTTCACTTAGCCGTTGGAACCGAATTTTTTGGGGAAAAAATTGTTTTTTCAAGCCAAAAAATTTCCTACAAATAGCCCCCCCCCCCCCCCCCCCCAAACCATTTTCTGCACCCAAAAACTCTCATTCTCTCTCAATTTCTCTCAATCTCTCTCAAATTTCTCTCAAATCTCTATTAATCTCGCTTAAATCTCTATCGATCTCTCTTAATTTGTCTCAAAGCACTCTCAACTAGAGGTTGGGGATGTAATGGTGGTGGCACTGGTGGGCGTGAAGGAGAGGCAAACGGTAGTACTAGTGCAAGTGTTGCAAGTTCTAAGAAGAAATGCAAGCACACCTCAACAATTTGGGAGCACTTCAACACATTCGAGGAGGTCGACAATAACAGTAACATTAAATATATAGCTCAATGCAAATATTGTGGTGATAAATTACAAGGTAATACTATTCACGACACTACACACTTGAGAAGACACTCTGAAAAGTGTCTTCAAAAGCAAGGAGGCAGAGCCGATCTCCACCAAACACAATTATCGTTTGACTGCCAAACCGGCTGTCTAAGCACGTGAAAATACGATCCGCAAGTTGATCGCATGAAAAGGGCACGATTAGTAGCCACATTAGATCAACCACTTAGTTTTACTGAACAAAGGAATTGACAGCGTTATATTAAAATTGTACATAATCCTAATGCACAATTTTTTTCTAGAACTACTCTTAGGAAAGATGCATTAAAATTATATAAATAAGAAAATGAAGCATTAATCAACCATTTACACTCTACTAGTGGTTGCGTTGCGTTAACAGTGGATATTTGGTCCGCCATTACCAACAAAGATTATTTAGCTGTAACCGGACATTATTATAAAAGTTTTCATTTGGATAAGAGAATCTAAGGTTTTAAATGTGTTATAGGATTACATACTGCCAATTTAATATATAACACAATTTTATCTGTCATTAATAAATATAGTTTAAGAGATAGAATAATGGTCATAACACAATGCAAATATTGTGGTGATAAATTACAAGGTAATACTATTCACGACACTATACACTTGAGAAGACACTCTGAAAAGTGTCTTCAAAAGCAAGGAGGCGGAGCCGATCTCTGCCAAACACAATTATCATTTGACTGCCAAACTGGCGGTCTAAGCATGTGGAAATACGATCCGCAAGTTGATCGTATGAAAATGGCACGATTAGTAGCCACATTAGATCAACCACTTAGTTGTACTGCACAAAGGAATTGACAGCGTTATATTAAAATTGTACATAATCCTAATGCACAATTTTTTTCTAGAACTACTCTTAGGAAAGATGCATTAAAATTATATAAACAAGAAAATGAAGCATTAATCAACCATTTACACTCTACTAGTGGTTGCATTACGTTAACAGTGGATATTTGGTCCGCCATTACCAACAAAGATTATTTAGCTGTAACCGGACATTATTATAAAGGTTTTCATTTGGATAAGAGAATCTTAGGTTTTAAATGTGTTATAGGATTACATACTGCCAATTTAGTATATAACACAATTTTATCTGTCATTAATAAATATAGTTTAAGAGATAGAATAATGGTCATAACATTAGATAATGCAACTGCAAATACTAAAGCAATATAACTTTTTGAAAATGATTTAAGTTTATTCGGTAATAATGATATATTTCACCAACGTTGTGCATGTCATATAATTAATTTAATAGTAAAATCCGATTTAAAATTAATGTCAGGTCATATTAAAAGAATTAGATATAACATTGCTTAGATTCAAGGTAGTAATCAAAGAATACAAGATTGGTTTAGATTTCTACAAGCATGTAATCAAAATCCTAGAGCATTAGCCTTAGATATGCCCATAGGATGGAACTCCACTTATATAATGCTTGAACAATGCATCCCCTATAAAGATGCTATAACAAATTAAGTTAGTACAAAATTAGGACCATGATTTATAGATGAAACTGATTGGCAAATTGCCGAACTCTTGTTTAACTTTTTAGGTAGATTTCACGAAGTTACCTTAAAGCTTAGAGGAACTTATTACCCAACGTCACCATTAGCGTTAGGAGAACTTCTAAGAATGTCTATTTTATTTAGTGAATTTAGGATACATGAGGTTTTAGAAGTTCCTATCGCCTCTATGAAAAAGAAGTTTAAAAAATATGGGTCTAAATTACCCATGTTGTATGATTTCGGTGTTATCTTTTACCCTAGATTAAAATTAGATGGTTTAGAAAGTGGATTAGATAACTTATGTGACTTTTTAGCTATCAACACTACTAACCAATTTCCAATTATAAAGGAAAAAATATTTTCTTTCTACAGCTCTTATGAAAGTAGGTTTAGAAACACACCTCGTGTTTGATAAAATTTTGGACATTTTCGGTGGGGCAACGGGCAGCCCGACCGGGCATGGGCAGCCAAAGGCTAACCGATGCCCGTCTAAGGTGATTTTCGGGTCGGGTTGGCCAGCCCAAAAATTTGGACAGTTCTGGCTCGGTAATCGGGTAAAAATTCAGATTTTTTAGTTGTCGCGGGCGGCCCGTCTAAAGTTTCAGCACTACCTGGCTTCTTACACTGCTTTTTCCGAACAGAAATGTTTAATTAAAGCTTAAATAATTCAGTACTTTATTCGATAATTACCAGTAATTAAAGTGTATTTTTATGCACTTATCACCCATGATATCCCATGATGGTGGATGGCTACTCCATTGACAAATGGAAAGTATAATACAATAAGCCCCATTCATTTCACTGATTCAAGTTTAGAATCTTAGTTTTACTACAGTAAAAAATTCTCAGAAACAGTCACATCTAACTTTTTTGCTACAGGAAAAAGCTCTCACATAAAATTACATCTCAACTCGAATTAAAAACTCGAATCAGCGAACTAAACGGGCCAATAATCTATAAGAAACAATTCTAAATGATCAGATTATATTAAAAGTAGTACATATTATAATCATGATAAAGGAGGCTTAATAGTAATAATTAGTGTTGAAACTTCGGGCGGCGGGCATGCCCGAAACCCGAAAATTTTTGGGCACGGCAGGTAGGCACCATTCGCCGCCCGTCCGACCATTTTATCCGGGCTTGGGCAGCTTGAGAAAAAACCATTCCCGGCAGGCCGCCACCGGTGGAGAAGTCGAGACCGCCGTCCGCCGGATTTTTTTTTAACTTTCCCCCGTAACCTGATTTTGCCCGAATTTTTTTGACCGTTAGCCCGATTTTGCCCGAATTTTGAA